AAAAAAAAAATTTTTTTAAATCATATGGCGTAAGGGGCTGGGGTTGTGGTATCATTTGCCTAGCATGTGTGAGGCACTGGGTTTGATCCTCAGCACCCACATAAAAATGGGTCAATAAAATAAAAGTATAAAAAATGTTGCATCTGTTTAAAAAAAAACTTTAAAAAAATCATATGGAGTAAGCATCTTTTAAAATATAAAAGTCATATCCCACTAAAATGGGATTACAAATTAAATTATTGTCAAGCTAGGCACGTAGTATATGCCTATAATTCTAGCTACTTGGGAGCATGAAGCAGAAGGATTACAAATTCAGGGCCAATGTGGGTGACTTAGACTTTACCTCAAAAAATGAAATGAAATAAAATGAAATAAAGGGCTAAGAAATACAGCTCAGTGTAGAGCATTTGTCTAATATGCAAGAAGACCTAAGTTCTTAGTTCAGTACTGCAAAAAAAAAAAAAAAAAGTTTAGCTCTTGTCTTGGTCTATTCTTGCTGCTAAAACAAAATACCTAATGCTGGGTAATTTCTAAAGAACAGAAACTCATTTCTCACAGTTCTGGAGGCCAGACATCTAAGGTCAAAGCACCAGAAGCTGTGGTGTCTCGGGAGGACCCAGTCTTGACTCCCAAGATGGTGCCTTATTGCTGCATCCTCTGGAAGGGAGCAATGCTGTGTCCTCACATGGCAGAAGGGCCAAAGAGCCTACCTAGTTCCCCACCTCTTTTATAAGTGCTAATCCCATTATGAGTGCACTGTTCTCATGATTTCATCACCTCTTAATACCACCGCACTGCTGATTAAGTTTCAACACATGAATCTGAAGGAGACACAGTAAGACCACAGAAGCTATTGTGCTAATTCTCGATACATTCTTCAAGAATTTAATTAGTTTCAGCCAAGATTCAGAAGAGGCTGATGTGCTTTTGGCAGCTACCATGACAAGGCTAAGAGCGTATAGATCAGAGCCAGTTTTTTTTGTTTTTTTTTTTTTTTTTGATTCTGGCTTGTCACTTAGTGCAAGTACATTGGACAAATATCTAAATGTCTCTTCAATTCACATGTCCCATTTTCCATTTTAGTAAAATGGGATAATATGCTCAAACATAGATACAGAATTCAGAACAGTGTCCAGTGCTCAATAAAGTTACTTTAAAGTACAGGCTGAATCTTACTTTTGACTTAATAAGTTTTTTGTTTATTTGTTTGTTGGTTGGTTTTTGCTCTGCCAGGGCTGAACAGAGGACCTCACACATGCTAGGCAAGCACTCCACCCCTGAGTTATACCCCTGGACCAATTATTCATTGTTTAACTCCAATCTGCTGCATTCCACCTAAGAGGTCTATCTTATGTGACACACCAATTCTGTTTAGAAATACTGATCCAAATGCTTTGTGTGCTTTGTAAATATTACAGTAAATTCTAACAAATGTTACTAAGCAAGCAGTAGGTAATATTAAAGGTTTAATTATCCTACTTTATGGTTTCATCAGTGTGGATTTTAGTTAAATTTAGTACAAAGAAATTGTTTAATTAACACCGTCCAAATAAACCTACTTCGGTTATCTCTCTTAGACCTAATACACTGAAGGTAGAAAAATGAAATCCAAACCTGTTTCAGTAAGCTCTGTTTAGGAACTAGAGTAATCTATCGCTTTATGTTCTCACCTAAGTGTTGCTACTGAAGAGAACACCGGGATTTTCCCCCCACTGTCTATTACTGATTTTATAAAATTAACTTCTAACTTGTTTAAGATTAACTTCTAATTTGATTCTTTGATTTGGATAGCTTTTTATTTATACTATCTATAATTTTAAATATTATTTAAAACAGTTTACCATTAAAGACATGCTTATAGTAAGGCTGACAAAATGTCAAATGTCTTAAAAATTGAGAGGAATATCTGAAAATCTAAGTTAATTTTTGACAGTTAAACATAGTCCTGAGGCCAAGGCAGAAAGAAAAGCATATTGTAATCCAACTGCCCAACCTGAACCACAATAGAAAGGATTTCCATGGTGGTAAATTCAGAGACATTTATCTAATGTTTCTTTAACCTAAGAACACAGATCTACATAATGAGTGATATCTTCATGGACTTTCATAGCGGTATAGAAAATTATTAATGATAATAGCATATGCTTATTATGGACTTACTCTATGCCAATATAACCTTAAAACAAATTTTACCAATATCAGGAATATAAAACTTTTAGCAGAACTGAGAAAACTTATTTCCTAATACTTAATTAGGCAATTTTTCCATTTGACTTCCATACTTTCCGGTAACTACTATATATGCAAGACAAATTGACCTGGGAATTACACACACATACACACATGCATATATGTGTAAAGCTAACATACTGCACACAACTTCAGAAACTCACTTTTGCCAGTACCAATGATCCTACTGAAACAAAGAGATGAGCCCTTTTAGTAAATACACATGCTTTCATTAATTATTAAATTTACACAACATCTGTCAAGCTGATGATTTACTAAGCTTTGGTTGTCCTTACGTATTTTTCACGGTCTATGATGCATAATTTTTTCCAACTTATTGATGTCTCTTCCAATCACTATGTATCAATGAGTACAAAAAATAAATTAAGTTGAGCCTACAATAAAAACAAGTCTGAGATTTCAATTTAATATCAACCATCAAAAGTATGTTATGCACACCTTAATCTCAGCGGCGTGGGAGGCTGAGTGAGGCCAAAGAATTGCAAGTTGAAAGCCAGCCTCAGCAAAGGCAAGGTGCTAAGCAACTCAGTGAGACTCTGTCTCTAAATAAAATACAAAATAGGGCTGGAGATGGGGCTCAGTGGTTGAGAGCCCTGAGTTCAAACCCCAGTATGCCCCCCAAAAGGTATGTTATGAGTTAACTAAAAATACATATAATTTATTTCTATTCTCCTTTTATAATACGTGTTCTGCTCTAAATGCTAATAATAACGTTGTTAAGGGCATCAAAACAACTTGAAGTCTGATGAAAAACAGTAGGCCCTAGAGATACAGTAATGCCACTAGATTTCAGCCTGTCAGAACATCAACAAACACACTTAGGAAACCAGGAAACTAACAAGTTTTTTATTTTTTTCTTTCAATTACCTGACAAATCTGAATGAATATATTCATAGCCTAAATTGCCTTGAGCTGCTTTAGATTAAAAAAAAAATGTATGTACCAAGCTATTCTCTTACTGCACACCAATTCCCCCAAATGTACAGAAACCTAAGTGTTCTCCAGGAATTCATTCAGGAGATCATGGTGCTCAGCAATTATCCAAATTGGGATCCTTCTGGTCCTCCCTTCTTCAGCTTTGAGTAGACCAAAAAGTCTGAATCAGTGGATCTTAAAATCAGTGGAACAACAGCCACAGCATCACCTGGGAACTTGTTAGAAATGCATATTCTATTACTAAGATGTTCAATTAAGGAACCCAGTTGGTTGTGGACCTAGCAGCTGCACACCAATAATTGCTGCATGAGTGTGGGGTGCTAAAAGACATCTGCACCTCTTCTACTGATTCCAGATGTGCATGCTGTCTGCATGTGTTGAAATATCACACTGAGCCCCATTAATATGTACAATTAATACATGTTAATAAAAAGTAACCTAAATTGCTGAAAATGGAGTGATAGAATATGAAGTTTCCCAAAATGGCCTTACGAGGTTTAATGGATAAAGCTGCATTTGGTTATAAAGCTGCATTTGGTTATTTCTGTCCCCAAGCTATCCGGCACTAAAGAATGACCCTAGAAGTCTCAAAAGGATATGGTGTGTGATGTTGCCTTGCGAAGGATGATGAGGGTAGTCTGGTAGAGGCTCAGGGTCTGATGGAGATCCCCCAATCTAATTCATACTGGCTATCACTTGCTACCTTCCTTACAACCAGTAAAATGGATTGGGGTTCTGTATTACGAGACTCCATGGCCCTCAGAATACTCCCCTGGAATTCATTCCCCAGTGAGGAGCATCTTGGGTTAACACTGCTGTCGTTTTCAGTTCACACTGCTGCAGAGGATTACAGCCCACCATTCTTCTCCACGTTGTATTAAAACAGGCAATGAAGGGAGGAAGTGCTAAGGTCACTATATTTTTTAAATACACCTTGGCAAAACTGTCAAGGCCATTCCTAACCCATAAAATTTTTAATTCTTGAAAAATAATAAAAGTGAGGAAAGCTCATCTCAGAGCAAGCTGCCATTTTGCTAAAAAGGCAGGAAAACTGCTAGCATCAGTATTACGTGCTTCTTGCTTAACACAGCTCCTTGGATGAAAGCAAAGGTTTTATTCATCTCTCGGGCAGAGAGCATTTTGTATTGTTTCTCTCTCCCACACAAGTATTGCAGGGTTTACTTGTTTACCTCCTTCAGATCCTGCACAATGGCCGTGAGCCTCTCATTTTCTGCTTGGACATTAGTGACCACAGCCCGGCTCTGTTTCAGTTCATTCTGCATCTCCAAGATCTTGCCCAGATAGTAAGCTTCCTTTGATGCAGACTCCTGCAGAAGTGTTTCCTCCCGAGTCTCACCATCTTCAGCGACTTTACGATGGATGGAGAAGGACTGCCCAAATGCCTGTAGAGTATTTGGAAAGAAAAAAAAGTGCATGATGAAATATACCACAACACTCTTAAGCAGACATGGAAAATGCTTTGTTTGGCTTTGTGTATTTAAAAAAAAAAAAAAAAAAGCTATGCTGAAAGACCTCCAGAAGAAAAATAATAATAACTAATAAAAAATATAGGTAACAATCTAATAGCTCTAATTATTGCCTGAAATCCTTTTTGAATAATTCAAATCCTTTTGAGGGAAAAGGGTGCTGGAGATAAACCCAAAGCTTCCTGCATGTTAAGCACATGCTCTACCATGGAGCTAAAGCTTCAGTCCCTTCAAAACCCAATTTTAAGGAGAGAAAAAAAAAAAATTAAACATCTTGCAAAAATAGCTATGTGTTAAAGAAAAACTGAAAAACATTACTGGCTGTTTTATGTTATTTTTGTTCAGACAGATTCTATTGAAAAACACTTGATTGTTAATCAGTACATTAAAATTCATGTCACCTTTGTTCTAGAAAAATATCCCACAGCTAGGCACAGTGGTGCACACCGGTAACCCCAGCAGCTCTGGGAGGCTTAGGTAAGAGGATCACAAGTTCAAAGCCAGCCTCAGTAATTTAGCAAGACCCTAAGAAATTTAGTGAGATCCTGTCTCAGAGAAGT